TGCTGAGGTGGGGGCGCTGGGCGTGCAGGGCTCTGCTCCTCACTGGTCTACTCTTGGCTGGGTGCTCATTTATTTTAAACTTACTTATTTTACAGTCCTTTGTAGATTACTATAGGCTCCATTTACTTACAAGTGGCTTCTTCAGTGTCTGGATTTCTCGACTGTGTTTCTTGACATTAGATCCCTTAGTGTGTTTTGTTTGTTTTTGAGACAGCATCTTGCTTTGTAGTTCCACCTGGCCTTGAACTCACCATGTCTGTAGCCCAGGCAGGCCTGGAATTCTCAGTGATCCTCCTACCTCAGCCTCTGATGCTAGAATCACAGGCATGTGCCACCACACCTGTCTTCCCAGTGTGTTTTGTAATCCACATCCCATTATTCACCTGGGAGTTCCGTGTTTCATGTCCCCCTCACAGTGAGGCAGCCTCATTGTTCCTTCACTGTAGCATTTCACATCTCCACTTCTAAACCAACTTCCAGTGTGGGTCTCTTAGTGCTTTTACCCTTGTGTAGCAGATCTGGGCCCCGTTTCAGTGCCCAGTGTCTTCTAGGCTGTAGTCTTGCAGAGGCTCCACTTGTGTTTGGGTTAAGCTAGCTAGCTGTATCTGCTTGCAGTGCTGCTTGATGGCTTGGCTAATCTGGAGGCATGACCCCCATTCCCAGCTTCATGCTGGTACATGAGTTCAGTGTCTCTCCAGTTTGTTTGGTGAGTGCTGAGAATTTAGCCCCCAAATTGAAATCCATGTGGGCTCCTATTCGTGTTGGTTTTCTTTTTATCTTTTAAAATTTTGAATACAGATCTGAATGTTTGTTCTTACTTTGTTTTGGGAATGCTAGGAAAGGTTTATAACTGTGCTTAGTCTTCTATCTAACCCTAGAAATAGAAAAATAGCTTTTAAATTCAACCACAAAGAGCCTTTATTTGCATAAGGTTAGTAGGAAGTAGTCTTTAACTTATTTAAATCTACCCACACCGAGACTTTTTACCTATGTAATAAAGTTAGTAGGTGGTATATAGTGTTTGACATGTGATAAGAAAAGTAAAGTTAAAAAAAATCAACTTACCAGTATTTATATCTCTGATACAGACTGTGATCAACCATTGTATGACTGCCCTATGTGTGGTCTCGTCTGCACAAATTATCATATTCTCCAGGAACATGTTGACTTGCATTTAGAAGAAAGGAGCTTTCAACAAGGTAAGATTATATTTCTAAGAAAAATATCTTTATTTAATTTTTACCCTTTACATACTTTCTATACTTTATTCTTTGGTTAGTTATGCAGAGGGAAAAAAAAATCATACCATTTAAAAATAAACCTGTTTCTGGGCCGGGGATTTAGCTCAGTGGCTTTGCCGCCTGCTGCGCGAGTGCAAGGACCCGAGTTCGATCCCCGGTACCAAAAAAAAAATAAAATAAATAGAAATAAAAATAAACCTGTTCCTTGAAGTAATTATCAAGTTGGAGTTTCCATTGACCATTTCTTTGTTCTGAATATTGTACCATACATACCATATACAATTCTTCATTTATTTAGCAGCTAATTCATTTAATGACCTAGTCACAGGACCAGAACTCAGTTGTTAAACAAGGAATGTCTGTATTTGTTGTTTAAATGGAGGTTATTCCGTTAGCAGAAGCAGTTCTGAGCTCTGCTACATTGATACTCTGTGGTTCTCCGATATCACAATCATAAATAAATAACAAATAATGACTCTTATTCTATTTTGAGATATTTATTGATTGATAGATAGGTTTTGATGATAGCAGTTATTTTGTTCTGAACATTAAAAATGTTTAATAGGCATGGATAGAATTCAGTGTTCTGCTGATCTAGAATTGGCTCACCAGCTTCAGCAGGAAGAAGACCGGAAGCAATCTGAGGAGTCAGTACAAGAAATGGAAGAATTCCATAAGCTGCAGGTACTGAGATCAGTAACAGTTATAATGTTTTGAATTAGAATTAGAGTTTTTATTTCTCAAATATACTTTTAAGACATAAGTGTATTATTTCTGCTCTAAAGTATTTTTCTCTGTGTATCTTACAGTTCATAACCACAATTTATAAGTACTCATTGTGGTGAAGTACTGGAGTATAGTATAGTATCTCAAAATCTTCACGACAAATCCAGAACAACCCCCCTCCCCTTTCAGGTGAACAAATGCAAACAGAGTGGTTAAGTAATTTGCCTAAGTTAGACAATTAGTAGATGGTAAAGCTTAGATTAAAACCTGTGTAGCTTGATGGGGAAATTAAGAGAGCCTTAGTTTATACAGATACTTAAAAGTGAAATTTATACTTGAATCAGTGTTTCCCAAGTTTTAAATTCTGTAGGTTATTTCTTTCTGCTGTTGGTTGTTTCCTTTCCTGTGCAGAAAAACCTTTTTAAATTGATATAATCTCATTTATTGATTCTTGGTATCATTTCTTATGTAATTTGTGTTTTGCTTGGAAAGTCTTTAGCTATATCTTCAAGAATTACCTATTTTATCTTCCAGCAGATTTGGTTTTCTCTGTTTACATAGTAAGTCCTTGACTTACAAATAAATTCCATTCTGGGAGAATGTTCATAAGTCAGATTTGTTCGTAATCCAACAGAGTGAATCTTGTATAGTACACCTGTGAGAGTTCACAACTCAAACATTTCTAAGTTGGGGACTTACTGTATCTACTTCTTTGACCCATTTTTCGTTAGATTTTACTACAGTGTAAGAGATAAGGTTCTAGATTCATTTTTCTGCATGTGGATAACTATTTTTCCCAGCACTATTGTCAAGGAGGCTCTTTTTCAACATATGCTTTTGGCCCTTTTCCTCAAACTCAAATGACTAAAGACACATGAAGTTGTTTCTACGCTGCAATTCTGTTCCATTGATCAACATGTCTGTTTTGTGCCAGTACCATGCTGGTTATTGTTTTGTTTTTTTGTTGGTTTTAAAAAATCATCATTAAAGATTTCATTTTTAAAAGTATTTTTAGATTCACAGCAAAATTGAGAGGAAGGGACAGAGATATTCCATATACCCCACTCTGCACAGATGCATTTTAAAACTTTGCAGAGCTGAAAAATAGACTGAATTCTGTGTACAAATGTATAACTTGTGAGCTTCCTAAAGAACGAACCCAGACTTTGTTACAGTGCAGTAGACAGTGATATCAAACGCTGCCCTTTACACAATCAAATGCAGGATACAAATCATGGCTTTCTCTTTCCGGTGACCAACTCTGAGAGCTTGTTTGTATACTTGTAAGGCTTGATCTGTGTAGAGCTGATTATGGTTCAGCTTGTTTCCTCTTAGTTCTCTTCAAGCTTTTTTAAAGCTTTTGATCTCCTTAGTTAATGCACTTCTCTCGATGTAACCTGATCACCTTTATGTATTGGTGTTCGTGCACCTATTCATTCTATTCAGTGTTATAGGATCAGTCCTGGTCACTGTGTTCCAAGAAGACAACAATATCCGATTATATCAGCATCTACAGAACCAGTCATATATCAATCATGTAATTAAAATTTTGTTTTTACAGCTTCCCACCTTTTTCAATATATAGTGAAAGAGTACTGATGAGAAGTAGGCTGGGATGTAGAGTATGAGTATGAGTGGAGGAATTAGGAAGAAAAAATAGTTCAGAAAGAAGGGACAAAGAAAACAATCTCAAATGAAAGTAGGAAACGAGATACAAATTTGGTGATGTTATTTTTATATCTTGAATGATGTGGTGGGTGAGGGAGTTTGAGAAATTATTTGTGAGTGTAGGGGAAAATAAGGGAGAAGGAAGTATAATTGAAGATTGGGAGAAGCTCTAAGAAGGTCAAAAACAATAAACATGCTAATAAAATGGTTGTGTTTGAATCTACCATACATTTATTTTAGTGTACATGTGCACTGATGTGCACATGAATGGTACCATCTAAGCTAAAGCATGAATTAATTTTTATTCTCCATTTCACATATACAAACACTTCTCATACATATTCCACTTAAAAGGAGAAAAATACAAGATGAAGGAAAAAACCTGTATGCATACAAAAACTCAAAAGCACACACTCCTCTCAGTCCTGTTAACAGTGCAGTCAGAATCTGACCAGAGTGCTCTTCCCCTCTGCTCACATTTGGAGAGGCTTGGTCCAGCAGTTGGACTGGGCTCCAATCCACTGTGGTGGTGGCTAGGAGGTTGATGTGCCTGCTGTGGCTGGAGCTGGCTCCTGCTAGCAATTTATCCTGTGCCTGCCCGTAAGGGAAGGGTCCCGGGTCCCGGTGGACCTCAGAGGCTGCTTGTTGCCTCTGCAGCAGAGTTGCTTCTGTAGGTGTGACTGTGCAAGGTTTTGCCTTTTTATGATTAGACACCATCAGCCTCTGGAGGCCTTCACAGTCTCTGCATGTCACCCCTGCAGCTCCTTTACTCCTCTCAGTGCCATCTGTGTGACCCACCATGCCATCCGGCCACAGTCCCAGGGTATATAGGGCCTGGCCAGGTGAGGATGGGGCCTCTGCCAGGGGCCAGGAGGGTGATCTCAGGGCCTTGGTAGCTGGTGGGGGATCCCACCCAGGTGGTAGAGGGCGGTGATAGAGTGACCTTGCCATCCAAGTACAATTCACCATCCCACAGGTCCCTCTGGTCTGGTTCCAGGCCTCTGTACCACCCTCCTTCCTCTGTCTCTAGGGCTCTCTCAGAACCCAGTCCTCACCCTCCAGGGATTTTCTGTCATGTGCCTTCCTTGGTGCCCTGACCTGAGGTGGCCCTCTTGTGGCTCTGTGTCCTTGTAGGAAGACCTGGGACAGGTGGCTGCTGGGCCTGGCACCCATTGTAGCAGTTTGGCTATAGCTGTCCAGTTGCTCCTCTCGGGTTAGTTCCTGTCCCACAATAGCATGGGTCCTGTCCCTCACACCTGTCCCATGATGGTATAGGTCCTGGCCTATGGTAGCATAGGGCCTGTCCCACGGTGGCATAGGTCCTGGTCCTTGATGGTGTAGGTCCTGGCCCTCAAGAGTGTAGGACTTGGCCCTCCATGGTTCACCTTGAGGTTGGTCCTCAGGTTGGATTCTCACTTGTTCCCTGAACCCCAGCTAAGAGTAGTGCTGGGATCAAGAGGTGGCCCCTGCTTCTTTCTCTCTCCACCCTTGCACTGGAATTCACCTGGTGGGCTTCTCCTTCATGGTACCTTTCAATGTTTGAGTTTTTGTCCCCCCACCATCCCAAATATCTATAGATCTTGATGTGAATCTCTTCAGTGCTGCTGTCTGTAGTCCTCTGTGAGGTCTCTCTAACATAAACTATTAAGACAAGGATGTGTAAGTCATTTATTTTCATGTTCAATAGCGACAATATGGTTTAGATGGTTCTGGAGGATATAAACAACAGCAACTCCGGAATATGGAGATAGAAGTAAATAGAGGAAGAATGCATCCGACTGAGTTTCACAAGAGAAAAGCTGACCTGATGGAATCCCTTGCTGCTGGTGTTGATGACGGAAAAACAAAAACTTCTGGTGAGTGGTAAACGTGGGAATCATAATTTTAATATTGTATGTATAAGCCAAGGTTATATAATTTCAGATGAAACTATATTCAAATACTTTTTAAAAATTGGTTGTTTTGAAATTTCTGAACTTCTCTTTTTATAGTAAATAATTCATTTAAAAATAATTTCCTGGGCCGGGGATTTAGCTCAGTGGTTTTGCTGCCTGCTGCACAAGCGCAAGGACTCAAGTTTGATCCCCAGTACCAAAAAAAAAAAAAATAATAATAATAATAATAATAATTTCCTTTTAGGCCAGGGATTTAGTTCAGTGGTGGTGATGCCTGCCTCACAAGCACAAGGTCCTGAGTTCGATCCCTGGTACCAAAAAAAATTTTTCTTTTACTTTGTAAATAATATCAGAATACATCACAGTAGGCATCATATACCATAGATTAGTATAATTTTATAGGTAATGGGGAGCTATTGTCTTGATTTGGCAAGTTGTTTAGGACTGAGTGATCTTCAGCAATATGTATAATGAAAAGGAGAGACAAAAAAGGCATTCAAGTTGAAGTTTTAGGTTCTAGGCCCTGTAGATGCAGAGATAAAAGATGCAGACAATTTCAGTTCCCTGTAAAGGATATGCTAATGTTTAGGAAACTTGGATATAGTAACAAGCAAGGGCATGATCTAAGATTGTAAGTGGTAAGACGGTAAAGAAAAAGAATTGGTGGGATTTAGCTTTAGAACTTGTGCAAGGTTGATGTTAGAAATGTATGACACAGCAATGTAGAAGGGTTCCTTTATCCATGCAACCTCACCAGCATCTGTTATTTAATTTCTTGATAATGGTCATTCTTTCTGGAGTAAGATCATATCTCAGTGTTGTTTTAATATGCCCTTTTGTAATGGCCAAAGATGTTGAACAGTTTTTCATATATTTATTAAAAATGTCATATTACAGTGATAACATGCATTCTTGTGGTTATAGCAGCACAACTCAGCTAAATCTTGGAAGCAACCTATATGTCCATTAACAGATGAATGGATAATGAAATGTGTTGTGTGTGTGTGTATAAAACTCAATCATAAGAAAGGATAAATTTAGGGCCGGGGATTTAGCTCAGTGGTTTTGTCGCCTGGTGCGCAAGCGCAAGGACCCGAGTTCGATCCCCGGTAACCCCCCCACACACACCGAAAAAAGGATAAATTTGAGTCATTTCTAGGAAAATGGATTCATCGTGGGACTATAATGTTAAATGTAATAAAGCAGGCACACAAACTTAAATAGTGCATGATTTCTCTTATAGAAGACACCTAGAGTATAAATAATATAAAGAACAAAATGAAAGACATGATAGGAACAGGGAGATAGATCTTTTGCAGATGGGAAGGGAATGCAGAGATGGAGGGAGGAAGGGGAAAGGATGTAGAATTCAGATTTGTTATGTATATGTTAACTCCTCATGGTGAATTTAATTAGTATGTACAACAAACTTGTACAAATTAAAAATTTTAAAACTGACGGCCATATACTGATGATAACAAATCTTCCTGTCTTCTAAACCTCTTTGTCCTTTAGGAATTATTGAAGCACTTCATAGATACTATCAGAACGCTGCCACAGATGTGAGGCATGTGTGGCTTTCTGCAGTGGTGGATCATTTTCATTCTTCTCTAGGTGACAAAGGTTGGGGTTGTGGTTACAGAAATTTCCAAATGCTACTTTCGTCCTTATTGCAGAATGAGGCTTATGATGATTGCTTGAAAGGTATGTGAAATACAGATATATGTGATATGGGATGAATTAAATATACTGCACATAATAACTAATAGAAGTACTGTAATGGATTTTATATAAGAAATTTGAATTTTGGTTAGAGGGAGAGAAAGTAATATAATAGAAGATGACTATCTTCAAAGCTGTATTGTAGGTTTGCCTAAAGTGTTCCTTTAGTAATTGTCATGTAATTTGTTTGCTTATATAATTTTAGGTATGTCAGTTCCTTGTATCCCAAAAATTCAGTCTATGATTGAAGATGCATGGAAAGAAGGTTTTGATCCTCAGGGGGCCTCTCAACTTAATAACAGGTTACAGGGAACAAAAGCCTGGATTGGAGCATGTGAAGTATTTACCCTCCTGACTTCCCTGAGGGTCAAGTATGTACCTGAAAAACCCCAATTAATGTTACTGCCATATCAGAGAGATTTTTTATTTTTCTGAATTTTATTTTTATCAAAGAGATTGTTAAAGGCCCAGGGAGCCTTGCAAGCACAAGGTCCTGAGTTCAATCCTTGGTACCAAAAAAAAAGAAAGAGAGAGAGAGAGAGGAGAGAAATAGTTAAAAATGAATTTAATTAGCCCTGAAAGGCTTATAATGGAAACCAGCAATGATTCCCTATCTCATGCTCTCTCTGTTCCCAAGTCTTATTTTGCAGAGGCAACTGTCATTTCTGTTTTTAAACGATGTGCTTTTGTAGCCATTTCTTGGTTTATCATTTTTAGACATTGTCACTTGCTTTTCTTTGTCTTCTACCTCCTCACCCTCAGTCTGCAACCCTTAATCTAATATGCGTAAGTCAGTTTCTACTACATTAAAATGAGAGCTCACATGATGATTGTGTGAATATTGCTCATTGCTGATTTTATTTTCTTTCCTGAAAAGCTTTCTAAAGATTTCTTGAGGTTAATAATTGCCTTTCCTTTTCATTTTTACTATATGACTTAAATATTCCTTTTAAGTTATTTAGGAAAAAAAATTCTCTTCTAAAAGTCCAGCTTTTACATCCAGCTTCTTTCTTGGTAGCTTTATAGGGCTTTTCTATTAATGATACCCTGCATGTGTTTACTGCTGTCTGTGTCTTCATTTTGTTTTCTATATGAATTACACTCTGTAGGGTACTGTTAAATATTCTAAATCTAAACATGCAATCAAACTGATAACCCCAAAGTAGTGTCCTTACTTGAAAATAATTTATCCTGAATTTTATTTGAGTACATAAACCTCAGTAGTCAATAGTTGTAAACTGTCAGCATTAAATTTTGTTAGACTAAGGTTAGCAACCCTTGTAATTTGGACATTTGAAGATTTTACTGCCAAGAGAGACAAGGATAATCTGTGCTATGAAGTGATAAAAACTACTAAGTGATTTTTGTATATACTTTACTTTTTAAAAACAGTTATTGAATAGTACAAACAGTGGTCTGGTTGAAAAACTGTTATTTATTCAAGGGAGATTTCCTCTGGAAGGAAGCATACTACTGTGGGTTGGTATCAGAGGAGACAGATAGCTGTGTAGATGTAGGCAGGCATTTTCTTAATCTTTACATATACCCTCATCTACTATTGAGATTTGAGAAAATTGAAAGTGTTCAGATTATTTTTTATATATGCAAATGGCTGTTGGGAAAATAAAATCAAAAGTAAGTTTCTAGCTCAATCAGTGTTAGATATTTTAGAATGAAAGCTATGGCTCAGATTATATGTAGATGACTTAAAAATCAAACCTGGCCCTCATTTAATACTCAAAGAGTTTTAATATGTGAGAAAATATTTGTAATCTTTAGTTCACAATCTTACTGTGGTTATTTAAATAAATATTTCCTTCACAAAAAATGACAGTTTTCCAGATAAATAATAAAAGTTTATGTTTCATATTTGTTCTTCCATCATAAGGAACTAATGGCTAGATGAATTTAGTTCTTGTGTGTGTCTATGTGTGGTGTGTGTGTGTGAGAGAAAGAGAGAGCTTCATTTGCCTTTTAAGAAATTTATTAGTATATGTTTGCGATACATAATTAATTATTCATCTTGAGAAATTGATATATCTCGCCTTGATCACTTTTACAACCTTCCCTGACACACATCCCTGTCAGTCCTTCCCCTGACTTCCTTCCCATCTGCAGTCTTATTTCCCCAAATCCTTCATCTTTTATTTTGTTCTTTATATTATTTATATTTGGATTCTCTTATATTAGAGAAACTGTACCATGTTAAACCAGATGATGCAAATTTATCCATCTTTATTGCTGAGTGCTCCACTGTGTGTGTGGACCACATTTTCTTTATCTTCTCATGTGTTGATTGGCATACAGGCTGCTTCTGGGACTTAATGATCGTTTTGCTGCTGCATAAAGATGGGTATGCATATACCTCCATAATAGGACTTTGTCTGGGAAAGATACAAAGGAAGGGTAAAGCTGGGTCAAATGGAATTTCTAGTTTTAGTTTTTTGTATTGTCCCTTTTTATTTCCATAGTAGTTGTTAGTTTACATCCCCACCAGAAATGTAGAAGGCTTCCTATTTCTCTAAAACCTCACTGCATTTGTTGTTTTTTGAGTCCTTCAAAATAGCCATTCTTATTGAAATAAGGTAGAATCTCAGTGTTGTTTTGATTATCATTTCTCTAATGGCCAAAGATGCTGAACATTTTCTCATGTACTTATTGGCCATTTGTTCTTATTTTGAAAAGTGTCTTTTTGTTTCAGTTACCCATTTTTTATTTTGGGAAGATCTAATTTTTTGAGGGTTTTTTTTTTTTTCCTTTTTCTTTTTTTCTGGTACTGGGTATCTCTTGCGCTTGCTAGGCAGGCACGGTGCCACTGAGCTAAATCCCTGGCCTTTGAGTTCTTTATATAGTCTAGATAATACTCCTCTGTCTGAGTAGTAGCTGGCAAATTTTTTTCCTGTTTCGTAGGTTATCTCTTCACTCTGTTGGTTGTTTGCTTTGATCTGTAGCTTTTTAATTTGATAAAATCCCTTTTGTTGATTCTTGGTATAGTATTATGTCTTATGCAGAAAGTCCTTGCATATGCCTGTATTTTCAAGAATTCTACCTATTTTTCCCCCAGCAGATTCAGTGTTTTTTTTTCTTTTTTACTGCTTTTGTTTTTCTATTGAGGTCTTTAATTCATTTGATTATAGTCTAGGGTAAGAGATTATAAGATTCTTTCGCATGTGTATAGTCAGTTTTCCCAGCACCTTTTGTTAAAGACACTATCTTATTTCAATGTGTATTTTTAGCCCTTTTGTCAAAATCAGATGACTAAAGGTGCTTGGGGTTTTTCCCTGCCTCTTCTGTTCTGTTCCATTGGTCAACATGGTTGTTTCTGTGCCAGTACTGTGCTGTTTTTGTTGCTATACATTTTTTGTATAACTTCAAGTCTCTTTGCTCATTTGCTCAGAAGTGCTTTGTCTATTCTGGATCTCTTCTCATTCCATATAAATTTTAGAATTGTTTTTTCTAGTTCTGTGAAGAATAAGGATGATATATATAATCATTTTTGGTAATGTGGTCATTTTGACAATTTTTGTTTTGGCTATCCAAGAACAAGGGATGTCTTCTATAATTTCTTCTTCAAGCTTTATTGTCAGAGCAGTGTACTCTTCATTATAGAGATCTGTCATTTTCTTGGTTAGGTAAATTCCTAGATATTTAATTTTTTTAAAGAGACCATGTTGTATAGGACCACCATTGATTTTTGTGTGTTGGTTTTATATGCTACCACTTTGCTAAATTTGTTTATTCTAAGGGTCTTCTGCTTGAGATTTTTGAGTCTTCTATGTAAAAGATCACATCTTCTACAAGTAAGGAAAGTTTGACATCTACCTTTCCTATTTGTATCCATTTTATTTCTTTCTCTTGCCTGATTGGTCCAATGTTTTGAGTACTATATTGAACAGGAGTGGTAAGAGTGAACACCCTTGTGCTGATTTTAGAAGGAGGGCTTTCAGTTTTTCCCAGCTTAGTATGATTATGGTAGTGGTTTTTCATAAATGATTTTTATCAGTTTGAGGTAAGGTCCTTCTATACTTATTTTCATCACAGTTTTTTTTTTTTTTAATCATGAATGAATGTTATATATTGCCAAAGGTCTTTTGCATCTGTTGAGATGACCATGTAATTTTTATCCTTACTTCTGTTAATGCAGTGCATTACATTCATTGATGTATGTATATTGAACTCTTCTTACATCCCTGGGATTAAGCTGACTTGGTCATGGTGTATGATGTTTTTAATGATTTGTTGCATTCTTTTGCAAATATCTTATTGAGGATTTTTTTATCTGTGTTCATTAAGGAAACTGGCCTTTTTTTTATTTTTCGTTTGAGTCGTTGTCTGGTTAGGTATCAGAGTAATGCTAGATTGAAGGAATGAATGGCAGTATTTCTTCCCTTTAAATTTATTGGATAAGTTTGAGGAATGCTGGCATTAGTTCTTCCCCACAGTTCTGGTAAAATTCAGTGGTAAATCCATTGAGTCCTGGCTTTTTCTTTCTTTCTTTCTTTTTTTTTTCCTTTTTTTGTACCAGGGATTGAACTCAGGACCTTGCCCTTGCAAGACAGGTGCGGCCAGCCTGGTTTTTTTCTTAATTGCTGCAGTTTTTATTATTGTCTCTATTTCATTGCCTGGTATTGGTCTGTTGAAGATGTTTATATGTTCTTTATTCAGAGTTGATAATTCATATGTGTCTAGGAATTTATTCTAGTTTCTCAGATTTATTGGAATATAAGTTTTCAAAATAGTTTCTTATAATCCTCTGGATTTCAGTAATATATATGATTGTGATTTTTGCCTTTTTCATTTCATTTTCCACACTAATATTAGTCTTTAGATAAGTTTAGCATAGGGTTTATCAATCTTTTTTATAGTTTCAAAGAACCAGCTCTTTGATTGATTCCTTATATTTTTTCTTTTAGTGTCAATTTCATTAATTTCTGTTCTGTTCTTTATCTTTTCTTTTGAGTTTTCCACTTGGATTGGTCTTGTTATTCTAGAACCTTAAGATGCATCAGTAGGCTGTTTATTTTGTATGGCTCGGTTTTTTTAATGTAGGCATTTACAGGTGTAATTTCCTTCTTAGAACTGCTATCATTGTGTTCCATAGATTTGGGTATGTTGTGCTGCCGTTGCCATTGGATTCTAGAAACTTTTCTTTCCTATTTTCTTCTGTAACTATTGATTGTTTGAGAGTGTATTATTTAATCTTTGTGTGTTTGTGTAGTTTCTGTGATTTATTTTGCTTTGATTTCTAGTTTCATTCCATTATGACCTAGTAGTATGCAGGAGATTGTTGCTTTGTATTGTAAGCATACTTCATGGTCTGAAATGTCTATTTTGGACAAACTGTGCCACTGAAAAACTTTGTACTCTGTTGTTGGATGAAAACTTTTATAGATATCTATTAAATACATTTTTTGTGTGTGTGTGTGTTTTTTTTTTTTTGGTCTGGTTGACCTATTTATGAGAGTGGGGTATTGAAATTCCCTTTAATGATCAGTAATATTGGTTTTATTAAAGTGAGTGGGCTGGCATTTGGTGCATGTATAAATAACAATCATTATCTTCTCCTGTTGCATTGCTCTTTTTACCACTGTGTAGTGACCTTCTTTGTCTCTTGCTCAGTTTTGGCTTGATGTCCACTTTGTCTGCAGATAGGACAGCTACTTCTGCTTGTTTTCAGGCTACACTTGCATGGTATATCATTTTCCATCCTTTCACTTTCAGTTTTTGTGTTTCTTTGTGGATGAGGTGTCTCTTCTGTGCACACATAGTTGGGTTTTGTTCTTTGACCCAATCTGTCAATCTGTGTCTTTTGATTGGATTGTTAAGAACATTTACATTGAGAGTTATTATTGAAAGGTATTCCCTGAATCCTGTCATTGTATTATTTTCCCTTTTGTTGAACTATTATCACTTTTAGATGTATTCTGTTTTAGAGCTCTTTGTGATATTGCTCTCTCTCTGTCTGTCTAAGATTCCTTTTAGCACTTTTTGCAGTGCTAGTTTCATGGCCATTAATTTCTTCAGTGCTCTTGGAATGTCTTTTATTTCTGTCAATTTTGAAAGATAGTTTTGTTGGATATATTTATGTTTGTTATTTTGGGGCTTGAGGAACTTCACTGCAAGCTCTCCTGGCCTTTAAATTTTGTGTTGAAAAATCAACTGTTAACTTCAGCAAGCTTGCCTATAAGTTACCTCATGTTTTTCTTTAACAGCTTTTAGTATTCTTTCTTTTTGCTGAATTCTTGAGATTTTTAACTTTTAACAACTGCCATTTATATCAGCATCCACAGATCCATGTAATGTAAAATTTGCTCTATTTCAGTCCCCTTTCAGTGACCCAGAAAGATGGTGACACATTGCTGAAACAAATTAGGCTGGGATGTCGTGGATGAGGGAAGATAGAGGAAGGAGAAAAGGAATGACTAGTTCAGAAGGAAGTGAAGAGGGGGTGAGATAACAGCAAGTGGAAGAAGGGGGGACCTGTGTCGTCCTTTTAAATTTTCATTGGTGCATGTTTGCAGTATACAGTGATTACATCCATGATGTGGAGTTTGCACATGTACATAATACAGCTTTACTCTTTTTATGTCCCCTCCCCCATCTCTTATTTATACTTTTAAAAACTTTTTTGGCACCGGGGATCGAACTCAGGACCTTGCACTTGCAAGGCAGGCGGTGGAACCACTGAGCTAAATCCCCGGCCCTCTTCTTGATAATTATTTTTAAAACATGAGTGGAGAGCTGGTGGAGTGGGGTTTTGAGAGGATATTTGGGGAAGAAAGAGGGATCAAGAGGGAGGGAAATGTAATTTGAGGTTAGAGAAAGCTGTGAGAAGGTCAGAGTTGATTAATATGCCGACAGGAAGCTGGTTTGAATGCTCTATCCTGGCAGTGGTGAACCTTTTAGAACTTTCAGTGATAACAAACGACTGACTGGCATGCATGCCACAGTTTCAGCACCACTGCTCTGTACTCAGTTTTTAATGAGAGTTAACCCAACGTGTCCATGAAAAATACTAACTGAAGCACCAATTTGTTTTTACTCTCCATTTCATATATATGAACACCTCCCACGTATACCAGATGAAAGGAGAAAAAGAAAAATAAGAGAAAGAGTAAAAAGACATAACATATGTACAAAAACACAGAAGAGACTTGGCAGGCCTCTTTATACAGTGGTCAGAGTTCAGCCTATGTGCTCTTCCCCCACGCTCACAGGTGGGAGAGCTTGACTTGTAGGGTGTCCAGGCGGCCACTGGGCCTGCATCCCCCCCTGCAGGCCTTGCGCTGCTTGGTCTGGGCCGTGACCCCGTGGGAATGGCTCGCTGGAGGTTTTGCCTCTGTATGTGAGCAGACACCTGCAGGTGCTGGAGGTTAGAAGGGTCCAGTGTGGCCGGTTACACACCCAGTCTTCTGCTGATTCCCAAGGTTTTCTCCATCTCTTCCCCCTTCCCTCTGATCATCCCTGAAGCTGCTTGTGTCTGCTCTTTCTGTACGGTTCTGATATCTGGCTGGGGAACCACGTCACCCCTTCCCTCTGGCTGTATGCTCTTCTCCAGTTCTCCACCTGCACCAAACGTGCTGAACACACTCCACAGGGTCCCTGTCCACCCTTCGAGCTCAGTCGTGCCTAGGGCTCTGAGCTCACCAGCTTCTGCTTGTGGGTGCCAGGGTTCCTTAGTGGGCACTGAAGGGTGGTGGGTGGTGAACAGGATATCCCACAGCCACTTACCTTGACTTCACTGGTATTTAGGGCAGTACTCAAGTGTCCCCTTGATCACACTGGTTGTAGCCATTGCCCACTTGTGCAGCTCACTGAGCTCTTAGGGTCAATAGTTCCAGGTCCCTCATCAGGCCCATGCCCTTGCTTTTTACTTTCCAAGGGCTGTCCAGTCCTGAGTCCCTGCATGAGTATCTGGCCTTTGGTTTCTGTGGTGCCCTGCTCAGTGAGTGTGACTCACCATCTCGCTCTTCCAGTGTGAATGGAGCCATGGTGGATGGCACTAGATGTTGGGGTATCCAGCCCCTTCCTCAGGATGTTAGGTCCTCTCCCAAGAGGATGTTTGCTGGACTTAGGTGTAAGCAATGCTAGGGTCAAAGGATGGCCCAGCTTCCCTGTCTGCCCACCCCAAACTGGATTTCCTGTGGTGCTGGCCTTTGGTTGCCTTCATTCTCCCTCCCATTTCTGAGTATCTGCACTTCCCCACCTCTCTCTCGAGCATCAGCTTCCCACACACACCACTCCCTCTAGTCAGCCGTGATGTAACCAGATTTAGTTCTAAATTAAAATTCTATGTGTATTTGATTAGTTGTATCAGTGAAAATATTTTGAAAATCTGCCCTAAGTGAAATTACCACTTTTTCTAGGTGCCGTATTGTTGATTTTCACAAGGCAACTGGTCCTTCGGGTACACATCCTCGCTTATTTGAATGGATATTGAACTATTATTCTTCAGAGCAGGAAGGGAATGCAAAGGTAGTATGCACATCCAAACCTCCTATCTATCTTCAGCATCCAGGTTAGTATAACTCCTAGGTAAGAGGTTAAGATTTTGATGATAGGGATGTGGGGGAAGTTTTGTGACATTAGCCTCCCTTCTTGAGTACTAAAGGGCAGTATTCCTGGCATCTTGGGGGCCTTTTGCACATGCTGTTTTCTTTGTGTGTATCACTCTTCTTTCATTTTTTTTTTGGTACCGGGGATCGAACTCAGGTCCTTGCGCTTGCAAGGCAGGCAGCAGAACCACTGGGCTAAATCCCGGCCCCACTCTCCTTTCATTGCTCCTCCATTACCTTCCTCAGATCTTTATCCAGATGTCATTTTATTGAAGGCTGCCCCTGCCTCACCTTATTTAAAAGTTCATAGTTAGTCCCACAGCCCACCACTGGCATTTCCTTCATTTATCTGCCTTGTTTACAGAGTGCCTGCTCCTCTTTGAATATAAGCTCCATGAAAGCAGGCATGTTGGTTTGTTTGTTGCTGTCTACCTTACTGCTGCAACCGTGCTGGCATACAGATATGAGAGAAATTTTATTGAATAATGATTTGCATTGACAGGAATAAAGAGAAGTAATCATTCAGGAATACAAACCATAAGAAATTAAGCCCTCCCCATTGATATTCTAGTATATATAACTAACTTCTATTGGCCTTTTGGACCCATCAATGTTTTCGAACTAGGATAGGTAAGTCTTTTCAGATGAGATAATTTAAATAAGAGACTAGGGAAGGAAAAGACATCAAGAGGTTGGGAAAAATAAAATATGTTGTAGAGTAGAAGGAGAGGTTTTTTTGTTTTGTTTTGTTTTTTGTAATAAAGCCTTTAAAAATGAAAGTAAAAGTGAAGGGTAGGAAGTAAAACGACCTACTAGGGTTTTAGGAGAGATCTCAGGTACATAAATGTCAGAGACTGCCCATATTTGTAATTCTAATAAACATACAAAGAGTAAGAATATATGTGTACGTGTGAATATGTGAGGTTATTTGTGTCTGTATAATAACAATGGGTAGAAAGGGTTTACAGATAGCTTTTATTTTATATTTTGATAGGTCATAGTCGAACAGTTATTGGAATTGAAGAGAGAAAAAACAAAACATTATGTTTACTAATATTTGATCCTGGATGTCCTTCTCGAGAAATGCAGAATCTATTAAAACAAGACGTCGTGGCTAGTAGTATCAAGCAACTTCGGAAACTTGTGGGAAATTTAAAACATAAGCAGTACCAGATAGTGGCAATAGAGGGTGCTCTTTCTGCAGAGGAGAAAGTGGTAAGTTTATTATGTGAAGCTTTAATGGGTGAAACTTAAAGCTTTAATTTTTTTGTTTTTGCTTTTTGAGACAGGGTGCCACTTCATAGTCCAGGCTGGTCTTGAACTTGTTATGCTTGCTGCTAACTTGCAATCCTTCTGCCTCAGCCTCCTGAGTGCTGGGCTTATAGGCATGTGCCACCACATCCAGCGAAAGTTTACAGTTTTTACCTGTCATTGTTCCCCTCTGTATCTCCTAACACCATATTCTGTTTCATTAAGTTGAAAATTACATTTATGTTTATATCACTGAATTTCTGGAATGGGCATCGTTACATTTAAATTGGTAGTGTCTAAATGCCTTTCAGTTGCTTCATTATGCTTCATAAAGATGTTTTATATTATTTAACTTTTTTAGTATCAGATGAGTGATAAACAATGACAACATGTATGGTAAGCAAAGACCTAACTCCTATTGGTCTTGTAATTACTATTTATTAAAATGTGATTATGATTCCCAAGGCTCTATTTTATACACTCAAACTTATTGGATATATACAGTTCTAGAAATTAACTTCATTTGAGTTGCTTCATGCCTTTATCCATGAGAGTTAAGTGATGAGTGACATAGCACAGAAAAATTATTGTCCTTTGAAAGATTTTTTTGCAGTGACTTAAATTCCAAAGTTACACTAATTTCTTTTTAACCTCATCACTAATTTGGCCAGGTTAAGTTAGGGATTCATTTTAATTGTTTTAAAAATACCAAGATGCTTGTTCGCTAATGTACAAGTAACTTTAGAAAGCATCAGTGTGGTTAATGTCAGAGTAGAGTTGAGCATTTTAGTTGGCTCTTGGTCTTTCTAGTTTGGAAACTGGTCATTGGTGCTCTTAGAATACTAGCAATGTGCTTCCTCCACTGTGCATTTGATGCTGTTTTGTTTGTTTTTGAGTCATAGACAATAGCTGTGTCTAACCATAAGAATCAAGACTAACAATGTACAATACTGCTAGGTAGAAAAGGAATAATATAGGTATCATATGATTCTAATTAAAATAGAAATAACAGTTGTACAGTGCTTATTCTGTGCTACACTTTACATATGAGAGCATATTAACTAACATAAACCACAAGGCAGCCCTGTAAGGTGGACAGTGTTATTATCTCCATTTTACAGATGTAGGTGCTGAGACACACAGGTGATGTTCTGTTCATAAGGTCATACAGCTACTGAGTAGCAGCATCAGGGCTCCAGTTCAGCCAGTTTGCATTCAGAGCCTGCCCAGAACTGCCTCTGTCATAGGCATAGAGTTTCATTGATCAACTAATTCAACATGATGTGTTTTTCCATACTGTCGTCATTCTTTTGTCTTTTTTTGTCATTTATGTCTTATAGTTACTTTGTTCTTTTTGCCAGTGCTTTATACATTTTGGTGTATTGATTTTTTCTACAGATAATCAGATGGAAGAGAAGAGTTGGTTATCAAGAAAAAATTTTTAGCTTTGCAATTGTCTTATTATAAGACATTCTGCCATAAATATATATTTCAGTAGCTACTAATCCCAGACCATGTTCTAGATGTTGGGAGTACTTGTTTAGTTGAAGGAATTTATTCTAGAAAATAATCTTAAAACACAATTCGGTTATATAATAAATACAGATCTTTGTTAACAGCCATTTTCCTCAATTCTTTTTTACATATTCATACACGGTGGTTAATTTACTGCACTACATTTTTAGTTTTCTATGTGTCGTCTTTGTACTCTGAACTTGATTTAAGGGAGTCTAATTTAGCTTGGCTAAACATGCTTTGGTTTGTAATTCAAGTTGTGAAAGTACCACAAACATTGAATTATTTTTTGAGGTCACATTTTTAAAGGCTGTAGTGAGACATGCTTTTCTTAAGGCTCTGTCCTCACAGCACTAACTCCCTCGGCCTCCTCTGGTTTCTTCCTCTTGCACTGTTTGTAGCTTTGACTGAGAGCCAGCATTGTCACTTTTGACTCAGTATTTTTAAAACAGTGACATTTTCTTTTATTACAAAATGCATCGTCTGCAGAATTTAATTTCTTTGTGCCTTGGCTTTAAAAAAATGTTTGTTCCTAACTTTTAAAGATCGGTATTTTAATTTTCCTTTAGGAATTTCCATTATTTTGACCAAAAAAATGTATTTTGTATTAGAATGATAATTGTCTAATTAATTTATAACTTACAATTAATAGTGTTTAAAATTCCTTTCAAGGCCAGGAGACAAGCTTCTCAAGTTTTTACAGCAGAGAAGATTCCTTGAAGAATTAAGCTTTTTGGTGATTATGGGATTGTACTTTGTTTTCCAAACTCTGATACTGAACTCTTTAATACAACTTAGGAATCTGGGAATTCTCTTAAGTGCTCAACCTGTTTGCCTACATTAAATTATACCTTTAGTGCTTCATTATCTACTGTTTCAATAAAATATCTTGTTTTCATTAAGGGTTTTGTTTTTCTTATCCTGTTTCAGAAACCGATTTTGTATTGTATATATAAGTTGATATATATTAGATCTTAACTTGTGGGTACTCTTCAGTATTTTATATGTATTAAAATTCTGTTACACAAGTACTAAAATTAGCCCCATGAAGGAGCTGGAGCTCTCAGAGATTAGTAATTTGTCCAAGAACATGATCATGATTTGGGAGTGAACCTAGGCTGTTTCACTTCGAAGCTCAATGCTATACTACTTAACTGTCTTCTCTTAGAGAACATACATAGTAAGATCCCCTTCTCACTGCATAGAAATAGCCTTAATATATAACAGGCATAGTTCTTTACACAAAGATTTGCTTTTGCTAAATATTTATACTAACTATACATGTGAATTTCAGAGTCTGTATTTAATATGTCTTGTAGGAGAGAAACTCCCACATTCAAGTTGAATATAACTTGTATTGTTGGGCTGGGGATTTAGCTCAGTGGTTTCGCCGCCTGCTGCACAAACACAGGGACCTGAGTTCGATCCCCGGT